ATATATGCCAAGATGAAACGCAGCCGTCTTCCACCCCAGGCCAGCAGCCTCTTTGTTTGGGGATTGTCTGTTCTCCGCACCTCCGTGAGCTCACCGCCTGCCCTCTGCTGATACCAACTGAATGGAGAAGTAGACACGCAAGGCAGAGCCCCGGAATGAAGAGAGAAGCCAAAAGGGAGAGGTGATTTCCCCAGGGAGATGAATGTTACTTTTCACCCCTCCCCGGATAACTACACAAAAGGCGGGGTGTGGGGGGTAGGTATTTTATAGCGAAATATTATTTGCATTGTGATCATTCTTTGATCAAATAAATACAACGAGCGTTGCCTAGCATCATCAAGAACAAAGTCATACCCCAAACACCCCTCTACCCCAAGACACCTATTTCATTACACACTTACCTAGCACACAGGCACACACAAGCACACACACACCATGCCAGAGTAAGCGAGCCTGAGAGCGAAGCCATAACGTGAGCCTGTCTCAGATAACAGCCTTTCTTTTAACCCCACCCCCAATACCAAAGAAAGAGGGAACCTCAGCAAAGAAAGGAGAGGAAGAAAGAGGAATCGCGAAAGCCTGCATTTCCAGGCATCAACTTTTCATGAAAATGCACAACCAGGATAGGAAATACCTCCCTGCTGAGTAATGCTTCAAGGGTTGTAAATTCACCTCCCGAAAGGGAAGCCAAGGCCAGCCAAACCTGTGCGCGCACCCCGCCAGATGGCAAACCACTCCTACCTGCTCGGTCCAGCCTCCCTGTCACGCCGCGCCCGCCACCGGCCTCCCACCCCCTCTTTTGGGCAGACCAACACACCAATAAGAGCCGAGCACGGCTGGCCGGGAGAGGGCTGAGCAGTGATTTAGCAGGATTGTTTCAAAAAGGGGGAGTGGGAAACCGGGAGGAGACAGAGAGGGTAAAACAAAGCCCTTCACAGTCAACCCGGCCGCTTTGGGGGAGTGGCTTATTTCCTGTGCTTTATTAATAAAAGGGATCGATGGAGCTTTCCTCTCTCCACCAACCCCGGAGGTACCGGGCTTCGAATCCTTGGGAGGAAAAAAAATGGCAGGGCTGCAAGCTTCCTCCAACTTTCCAGTAGCACCTGCCACCATCCCTGACCACCTCCTCCCACCGCGACTCCGAATCCACAATTCCGGCTTTAGACTCTGCAAGGCAGAGGGACAGACACACGCAGCTTCCAGCGTTCCCCCACTCCCACCACACGCGCTTCGGAGCGCTGCTGCCACAACCACTGCAAAGAAAGTTCCAGGGGGACCACCCGGCTCCTCCGCAGCCCCGCTCCCCCGCGCCGCGCGGGTGTCCAGACACAACCCAGACGTGACACACAGCATGGACTCCCGGGCTGCAAGGGCAAGGAGCGGAAAGTTGCCCAACAGCCACAGGAGACGCGCCTTGGAGGAGGGGACCGGCTGGCCGACAGGCGAGCTTGCTCCCCCGACCCCAAAAGCTGGGAGCGGCGGGGTGAACCCCAGTCTCCCAGAGCGTCGCATCGCTCTATTTACAAACAATGCGTTCGGCTGGCGTGGAGGGGACGGCGGAGGGACCCAAGACCCACGCCGGGACCCAACTCCGGGGTGCTCTCGCATGTGGGGCTCCCTGCAGACGAGGGGGACGCGCAACCCACGGGTGGCCCCATTTCCCCACCACCGCTGCAGGCGCGAAGCAGGAACTCCCTGGGGAGTGCGGGCCGGGCAGGGGAGCTGCTCACCTCGTCTTCCGAAAGTCCGTAGACGGGCTCCCCGAGCCCGGTCGCCATGGAGCCGGCGCCCCGTACGGGGTCCGAGGCGCTCCTGGGCGGCGGGGCTGCGGCGCGGCAGTCGGGTCTTCACTCTGGCTCCGGGGCCGCCTGGTCCCGCACCCGGCCCTGTGCGCGCCCAGCTAGTGGAGCGGCCCGGCGCCGGCAGGGGGGGGGGGC